ATACGTAGTGCTTTCCCATCCAAAATATATCTAACCCTTGCCAATATCGATATATTTTTTGCTATTTTGTGCTGAATATATCTGATATGAGATTTCCAGGCGAATTTGTCATCAACTAAGACACCTAGAAATTTAATTTCATATACTCGTTCTATATTAGCTCCCCCATTTTTCACTTGCAGTTTATCTAGTCTACGATTCCCAAATACCATAAATTTAGTTTTATCCAGATTCAGAGATAGAATATTACTATCACACCATTTCTTTATCTTCTCAAGTTCCTGTGAAACCCGTCCCGAGAGTTGCTGTAGGTTTTCACTGGATGCCCATATGGTAGTGTCATCAGCAAATAAGACCACTTTCACTAAGTCTGTTGTGCTATTGCTAATTATAAAAGTAATGTTCTGTCATCTGATGTTATTGCTTATTGAAAAAAAAACAGGTTTGTGAACTAAATGCATCTACAGTCCACTGAGAGTTAGGGGACAAAAAAACCAAACAAACAGCTGAGACAAATTATGAAAATGCAGACATTTTACATGAAATGCAGAGGGTGTACTGTAGATGTAATGTTAAAGTAACATTCACTCGATTATCTTGTGTTGCTGTCAAAGGCAATGAGTAAGAATTGTTGTCAGTCATCCAAATCTTCTTCCCGATGTTCACTACATACAGTAAATATCACTGTATTAGTGATTTAGTTTCTTCCCTCCAAATAAACCCATTAGTCCAAAAGTGAATGAATCCATCTTCTTCATCCGAGCAGAGGGACATGGACACTGTGCGAACAAATAAACAGCATTTTTCGCTAACCTTGTGATAGACATGTACATCACCTTTAACCAAAGTAACTGTACACAACAAAGATGGCAGCAGCTGTTGCCTCAACATGCTTAGAAGATAGAAAAATGGCTTCAGCTTTTGATTACTGAAACTAGACTAAAACTAACAAAAATCCAAGCACAAAAAAATTACTGATATTTACTAAAATAAAAACATGTTTGTCAAAAATCAAAAGGTGGTAAAGTTACCACTGGGATGTATGGAGAGAGCAGTTCACTGTGCAATTAACCAGACATTTAGAATAAAAAAATGCTGCACTTCCTTTGCCATTACATTTATTCTATTCTTTTCATAGCTAAATTTGTCATTTCTAGTATTTGCTGTGAAGCCATGTTGCAAGAGTTTTGATGGTCAGAATCAGGAACTAAAAAGAAATCAGTAAGGCTCCCTACTCCCTGAGGATTGAAGGCTGTTTTTAATAATTTAGGCTTATTAACTGCAAATGTAATGACAGAGCTCTGCCAGACAATACTCTGTAGCCCATTACATGTGCTCTCTGGTGCGGAAGCAACAGGAATGAGGTAAAACATGGATCAATGCAAAACTGAAGGAAGAACAGTAGCATCACGATACTGTGTTTTCATTTCAATCATATACATAGGATGTGCAAATGTAAATCATCAGTGCTTCCTCTTGACTTGGAAATGCACAGGGGTCTTTTCAAACTAGAGCCATGCCATTTGGCTTCCCTCCCAGGTGACCTTGTTGGATGCCTGTATCACATCAAGTTGAGCTGTTTGTGAGAACTCCTCTGGGGTGTTACATCCAAGTCTGTTAGTGTGAGGCTTGTATCAGCTTGTAGATCCCAAACATCTCCTGTGTTACTTACTCAGTGAAGACTAAATAAAAGTGAAAGGAAGCAGCACGAACATGGTGGGTGGTGAAGAATAAAGGTCGGCACGCTCCTACACACTGGCAGGTTCTGTCGCCGTTATCACCTCTACACCCCACCCCACAAATCCGTCCTTTTCTCCCTATACATCCATCCTGTCTGAGAGTGTGTTAGTCATGCCAGCCTCACTGCATGGTCACTGAAGGAAATGATGTGAGATGGAAAGCAGCAGAGCGTGCGGTGTGCCACCAAGGTGGGTCTGTTTGATCGATGAAGTAGAGAAGCCATAGAGAGCGGAATAGGAAAAAGGGGGGAGCAAACATTGAGAGGCCTAGTCTGGGGCACTGCTCACATATTTGCCTGCCAGAGCTAAATATAAACGTATGGAGGAAGCAGAACTGTAGCGAGGTCACCCAGAGACACAAATGGGAGTTTTAACTGCCCATCTTCATGGCCGACACCTCTCCTTTCTTGCTTTATGGCTCTTGCCAGGATTTTTTTTCTTTAAGAGGCTGATTGTTGTAGATCGCAAGCTGGAGGTGAGATCTTTCTCTGTCTTTCATCAGATGTCTCTTGTGAGATAAACACCAAAGCCCTTTAGTCCCCTCCCAATTTTTTTTTGCTCTTTCTCTCCTACTCAATTCCACTCCCACTTGCTTTCCTGCCTGCTCTGCTTTTTCTCTGTACCTCTCTCTGTTCAGGGGAGGTGAGTAATATTTTTTTGTTGTTGATGTTTGGAAGAGGAGAGAGCATGCTGATGCGAGGAGCTGTGGCCCAGCTTGAGTTAAAAGCTCTAATAATAGTTGGTGCATCTATCTCTCCATCCATCCATGCATCCAGCGTTCCGTTTACCCAGTGAGCAGTGGCGTAGTCTCACTGATCAAGTGAGCGTGCTCACTCCGTTGCCGTGGTGATGGCAGAGGTGCAGGTGGCCGGCTAATGTATTACTTCTGTTTGTGTTCCTTTACCAGAAAAAGGCAGAAGAGGCTCACAGGATATTGGAGGGGCTTGGACCCAGGGTAGAACTGGTGAGTGGAGACATTGACTTTATGTCGCCTTTCTGTTCCTGTGTTTTGTACTTCTCGTTCTTTTGTTTTTTTCACTACGAACATGTGGGATCATGTTTTTTGAAGGTCAGGTTAGAGGGATAAAGGACTCTAGGGAGACACAAAGGACAACTCTGAATTACACATATACCACAGCAGTGGTTTAAAGAAATGAAGTAAAAATATCTGAGTTCTGTACTGTAGATTTTGAAGACTGAATACAATGAATACAGAATATTAAATGGTACTCAAACCCACTGAGATCGCTTTTTTTTCTTCACCACATGTTCAAAACCTTATTTGCAACATTTTCTTTTATTTTAATTCTTAGCTCACACATAGCATGTGTATCTATCAGTCTAACCATCCTTCTTACTCTCACACACAAGCACCCAGTGAGTTTGATCACTTTGTTTTGAACAAATTACCTATTGAGCCCATGCAAGACGCTACATGATACAGGTTCTGCTCTGTCCTTGGGGGCATTCATTTTGAGGGAGTCATTTGGATGGAATTAGACTGGGTTTTTGGGCTTTTGCTAACCAGAGCTTTGAGTTGCTTTTATTTGATGACTAATTATTTGATCCCACATTCAGATCGGGCAAGGTCAGAATCCTATTGAAGAGACATTGGAGTGTATTCTGTCATTTGACTTCCATGTATCATCCTGTAGAAATTCAGCTGTTTACAGCTGAACTGAAGTTTTAACAGATTCATTGATCTGCTTGTTTCTTCTCCGGCTCTAGCCTCTGTACAATCAACCTTCTGATACCAAGCAGTACCATGAGAACATCAAAATGTGAGTCTACAAATATTAATAATATAATTTTTCCCCATATACAACGACTATAGTATAACTGAACAGACTGCTGAAGAGTTTAACTGTCATGTGGGATTGGTGAATATACACATAATCTCAACACAGATCTCTAGGATATTTTAAATATGTAATTGAGTTTTGTAAAATATGTCATTGAGAGAAAATAATGTATTTGAAACCATAGCAGTGCTCTTGAAAATTGAATATCAGCATATACCAAACTCAACTCTGGGATTTAATTAATGAGGGTCTTAATTATTATTATTATTATTATTTTTTTAAATATATCAAAGCCTAACTGACACAAAAAAGGCTGAGAAACTCAGCCTTCATAGGAGATACTGTATTTGTTTGTGTACAAATGTAATAACTTAGAGCCAGTCTGACACTGGCATTCATGTGGACGGCAAAATAAGAATTTCATTCAGGGAAACACATTTCCTAACTGTGCATATGACAATCACTTTGACCTTGACCTGAAGGTTTGTTAAATAATATTAATGCTGCATATGGGGACAGGAAGACCTCCTGTTGTATTAGAGCCTGGTATTTTTTAAATTTAATGTAATTACTATTACTAGAAAGTGAAACTTGGCTGGCCTCAACAGCTAACTTCCTTAGTGCCTGTATATTGCATCAGCAAGAAAGATTTGCCACTTTTTTCCACCCTCACACCTCAACTCCATCTTCCTCATTGGCAGACTGCAGAAATGGCATTTCAGAGGGGGATGTGAAATTGGCATTATGTAAAGTTAGTAACAAAGCTTACTGGAATAAATGTGTGTAACAAAGGATGCTACATACCGTAAAAAAAAGCTTTATAGAAAGGACGTGCTGGTCAGTGGCACTGCAGTTACAGTGGTAAGATTTGTTTTGTTTAAATACATTCCTGTAACTCCTAGTATCATGTAAATGTAGTGTTAATTGTGTGCCAAATTCATCCTGAATATGAAACCTAATTGAGATGGAGTACACCAACATTCTCCTATTGTAATATTAGGTATTAAAAATTATTATTTGAAACTTCCAAATCATACAAAGACTAGCTGTTATCTGGCAGTGAAGACTTGGGTATGTGATTAAAGGCTACAGTAACATCGGATCACAGAGGTTATTTTGTATGTTTCAGAATAACTACCCTCTGCTCTCTGTTAGCTTCAACCACTACTAAGCTGATAAGATGAATATTTTTTTTAAACTCATATTTAAATGTTTGTCACATGGGAAATTGGATTGAGGTGCAAAAAAAAATCAGCCAACTTATCTGTGAAGTAGGTATATTCACTCATATAAAAGTGCAATGAGTCATATTTGAATTGTAGTCACCACTAACAGAGCTTCAGGTCATCTGTGTTCAAACTAAAGGCACATTAGTCAGAAACACAAATAATAAAACAAACAAATAAACCTAACGCCTCTGACAATGGACTAAAATGGCTATTTGATTTTTCTTACTCGTAATGTTATAACATGAAATAGTAACAGTAGGATGCTTTTCTCAGCATTCAGGTTTGTGTTGGGTCAATGATTAATACATTGTCAATATTATATGTTAGTCTATCAGCACAAGCAAAGCACCGTACACAACTATGTATAGCCTTGCTGTGTCTATCATTAAGGCGTATATGCATCTAATCTATAAAGGACCATAATTCACTGAAGCACATCAAAGAGGTGTCTCCAGCACTGGCACAGTGGCATACCGTAAGATGTGTCTGTAGCCTTAGCTACACACTGCTCTGTCTTCACTCCTTTTGATCCCTGCACTGTTTGATCAGTATTATTGCCTCAGAGCAATTAACTGAACACTCTCCTGTCCCTGTGTGTGTGTGTGTGTGTGCGCGTTATAAATTATCACTGTGTCAGTTTCAGCCAGCAACACTGACCACTTTGTTTTGTCAACTGGTTTGATAACCTTGGCACTTATCTGACATAGACGATTACCAGTATCTCTGTGGAGCACTCGGCATCAGAGACCCATCCCAGTTCCTGCACACACACTGATTCTGCCACTCAGCTGGTGATTAACTGGTCAATATCTTTTGCACATGCAGACTGCTATGAAGGCAAACTCTGAAATGTTTGCTCAGTATGGTTGTACCACTATGGAACTTATGTCACAAATGAGCATATAATGAATCTCTCAGCCATCATGTTTTGGAGGCATTATGCCAAATTACAGTGTTCTTTGATATCTCAGAAATGACACAGGCTTAGAGCAGGATATAGTAAAGCTTTTGTAGGGGTGCAGGCCTGTTAATCTTTCCCCTTGCCATATTGTGTCCAGAGGACAATGCCAACTCTGTTTTTGCCATACCAAGTTTGTTCTCACCTATTATGTGTGGATATGCACAATATCAAGCTGGATTTGGCAGCATTTCTTTTTCCTGCTGCAGTGGCTTGACTCGGTGTGTCTGTTTTGGATGCGTGGGAGTGTGTATGTAGGTTGGGGGTTAACACTGCTCAGATGTAACTTGGCTTTGTTATTACAGATAACATGTTTGGGAAATGAAGAGTAGGTCACCTTGTGTGCTTGTCCCTCTATAAACCAAACATTATCATACTGTCTTCCAGTGTTCACCAAACTTATACACCACAAGTAGCCCACGTCCTCGTCTTCTGTCCTGACCCTGGGGCTCAGCTGAAGTGACTGTGTAGAATAAGATTACATTAATCGGTGGGGAATGCAACCTTACAATTGACAGATTGAGCATCATAAATAAAACTCTCTCTTGCAGCAAAGAAAGAGACAAACTGAGTGAGTGCCTAAGGAGACTGCTGGCCCTGACCTTTATTTGATGAAGGATTCTCAGCCTATATAGGTTTTATAAGTTTGGCTCCCCTCGCTGTCCTTCCCACCCAGAAGCAAGTTTGAGTTTATCAAGTGGTAGCATACAAGGACAGGCATTGTTTGTGTTTGTATGAGTGAGCCCCCCCTGTTTGTTTAAAGAAGTTGGGCAGAAGGAGTGCAGAGGGTAGAAATGTGTGCCTGAGGACCTGGAGAACATGTTAGACTTAGATGTATTATGCAACAAATGAAAGCCAAAGCACAGTTTGGGTAGTGTTTTTTTTTTTTTTTTTTTTTTTACTATCCCCACCTTACAGTTGTTCTCTGCCTTTTTGTTTTCTACATGCCTCTTTCTTCTTCCTTCTTAGAAACCAGGCAATGAGGAAGAAGCTCATTTTGTACTTCAAGAGGAGAAATCATGCTCGGAAGCAGTGGGTAAGTAGAGAACAAGATTTTGGACTGGGACTCGGCCCGTAATTGATAACTACAGTCAAACTAGATGACCTGCTCCTTGAAGCTAGTGGCCATTTTAAGCAGATCAAAGAAAAATAGAGCTTTGACCATTCATGTCAATTGAATGCACTTTCAGTGAGGTGCTGTAATGAACGTTGTACAAGGTTGGTCTGTGCTCTTGGCTGCCACTGATTGCGTGAGACTTGGCCAAAGAGCGTGGCTATAAATAAAGTAGAGATCATTCGGGTGAGCTCTGATGCTAGAGTCAAGTAGACATCTCAAAATCAGCTGGTTTGATGGAAAAATCATTATTCCAAATCAAGTCCACAGTTGTGGGTTGTTCAAAATAGCATCTGACCACAAGTAGTAAATATGATGTTTTGTACTGCTTCCAGCCTCAGTGATACTGCCAGCATTTATTATATATTTGCTAGTTTATATGAGACCAGAAAGAACAGTTGTATCAAAGCATGCGAGTTGTGGGTGAGTGTCTAGTCTTTTCTCATGCTGTGTCTGAGTGGGGGAGGTAGCTCTTAGTGGGCAGAGTGTGGGAAGACGTCATGTTGTGGTTTATGAGCCTACTGAGGGTCGTGTCACCATTAGGGTTAATGGTCTGCTTTACAGCCTGACTATGAGGAAGCTGGGAAAACAGTAGGCTGTCATCTGCCAAAGGCATGGCTCAAGGCCAGACTCCCACTAGAACATAACATATCACTTTGCCCCCTCTGGACATACAGAGGTACAAGACAGGAGATGCCAGAGAAAGTGAGAGCTAGGGAAGATTGCTGAATATATTTAGTGAATGTTAAGGCACAGTGAAATGTCATTCTGCTTTTTGTGAGATGTCTTGTTTTAGTGATACCCGTTAAATGTTGTGCAAATGTTCTTTGTCAAACTTAATGGACCATTAGTTTTGTGTTTTGAGCCCAAAGAGAAGTCAGAGTAGAGAAAGATTGTTGAGAGTGACTTTGCAATCGATTGAGAGCTTTCCTGTTTTTGTGGTGCTTCAGGAGCAGAAATTTTGCCAGCGCTATGACCAGCTGATGGAAGCCTGGGAGAAGAAGGTTGAGCGCATTGAAAATAACCCGCGGCGCAGGGCCAAGGAGAGCAAGGTGCGGGAGTACTACGAGAAACAGTTCCCAGAGATCCGCAAACAAAGAGAGCTGCAGGAGCGCATGCAGAGGTGAGATCACAGCAATTTTATTTATTTATTTATTTTACCTTTTCACAACAGGAGATCTGTGATTGTTCAAAAGAGTAAAATGGATGCTGTTAATTTCTGGAACTGATGTAATTGCTTTTATCTCTTCCCTAGTTACTGCTGTCACAATGAAGAATTTTGATTTTTTTTTTTTCATTGTATAATGTAGGGGGCTCAGTTACAGTAATATATGGGTAATTTTGAGTGATGAGTCTTGTGTATTTTTCCTTATGTAGCCGTGTCGGGCAGCGAGGAGGAGGGCTGACTTCGTCTGCAGCTCGCAGTGAACACGAGATCTCTGAAATTATTGATGGATTATCAGAGCATGAGGTAAGCTCTCCTGGTAAAGGTGATCTGACTCGCCACTTGTTATTTAGCAACCTATCATGCTAATGAAGAAATGATGGTGACCAGACATCTGCATGTCTGATTGTATTAAATGGAACGCAGATCAAGGCTGGTACTTGTACCAGGAGTGAAACCAGGGTCTTTGAGGTGGTGGATGAGAATTTTACATTCAAATGCTGTTAATTTATTTGTATTTGCATGTCATGTACCACAGATTTTTAATTTTTTTACTAACTAGTCCTGCAACTATTATTTTCATTACTGAGTCTTCTGTTGACTATTTCCATGATTAGGAAAACCTGCTGGAGTACCTACAGGTATATTTAAGAGCAGCATTAATTAAGTTGGCCAGGTCTTTTTAAAATGATTAAAGAAATACATTCAAAATAGAAAAGCATCCAATAATCACAAAACATTCTATTCGATTAGTATTTTTGAATAATATTTCCTTTCATTTGCAGTAAATGGTGGTGAATATTCTAAAACCGCATCAGACAATCTGCATGAATACAAACCTTCTTGAATCACTCCCACATAGTTTCAGTGACATATGCCAGTAAATATTGCCCAGTACCACAGCTGTTCTACTGGGTCAAACTGATGCCATCATATTTCACTGATAGATACCACATTTACACTGAAGATCTTAACTGGTACGCCACTAGAATCCTAGCCCTTTAAAGTGTCCATGGCATGCTCATTTCCAGCCATTTAATGTTTAATCCTGGGTACCTCTAGATTAGCTTTGGGTTTTTAAGCTTACTGTTAAGTTCCACTGAGTAGTGGAAACATCGTTTCCTTCCTTGCCTTGTTTAATCTCAATAAACCATTACTACCTTCCTCCCCCTGAAGCTAGTATCAGTGGCTTTCTTTCAGTCTCATCCTGTTTCCTTACCTCAGACTTATCTGACAAGAAAATACATGGAACATAGTCTGACGAGCTAATGAGAAAAAAGGTTCCTCTCCTGTCTTCTGTACTCATTAAGTTTCATACTGTTTAGTGCAAGTGCAATATATGTACCATGCTGACATACAGTTCCACTCTAGAGACCAACACACTCACTCCATGGTTTTGGTTTCTGCATGTGGCATTTGTGTACTTCAGAACACAGAGAAACAAATGCGGCAGCTGGCAGTCATCCCTCCTATGCTGTTTGACGCTGAGCAGCAACGCATAAAGTTCATCAATATGAATGGACTGATGGATGACCCTATGAAGGTGTACAGGGATCGGCAGGTTATGAACATGTGGAGCGAGCAGGAGAAGGACACGTTCAGAGAAAAGTAAGCAAAACATTTCAGTATATTCATGTTCGCTTAACATAATTTCTTCTTTAAATAGTTAAAGATCTCCTTTTGTTCTTATTTTACTGACTGGACTGAGTTTTGTTGGCCATAAATAAATACACATGAAAATAGCTTGTGACAGTAATGCTTTGGCATTTGGTATTGGAATTTTATTGCTAGAACACAATGTATGAACACGCTTAAGATTTTTCAATTTTATTTTTTTTCACACTTTTCACATTCAGCTCTTTTTTCTTTTTTTTTTTATCAAACACAATATTAGCTTTCAGCTCCATTCTCATGTTTGTTAGACAGTGCCTTTGAGAGCTTCTTTTCAAGCAACAAGATCTAACGTGTCCTTTGCTCCCTGTGAAATATGTTGCCGGTAAAGGGTCAGTAAGTTGTCAGTAAGGAAGTGAATCTTCCCCTTTCGTGAGAAACGAGAGGAGGTGTTTTCAAGCTACCAATTCTAATCAACCTCGGACAGTTAGATCAGTGACTTTAAAGTCTACCCACATATAGTGCCTTGCAAAAGTATTCATACCTCTTGAACATTTCCACATTTTGTCATGTTACAGCCACAAAAATAAATGTATTTTATTGGGATTTTGTGTGATAGATCAACACAAAGTATCGCATAATTGTGAAGTGGAAGGAAAATGTGTTGGTCTATCACATAAAATCCCAATAAAATACATTTAAGTTTGTAGTTGTAATGTGGCAAAATGTAGAAAAGTTCAAGGGGTATGAATACTTTTGCAAGACACTGTACAAAAGATCTTCACTTCCTTATCCTAATACATTTGATCTAAAATGTACTGTTTATGTTTTATTATGACCAAGTCTTGCAAGTATTATTTAATAATTCATTGCTTCTCTACTTTGGCTCTCTTTCTCTCTCCAATTTAAGAGAAGCTTTTATTTAGAACTTTCCATTGTGCGTCAGCACTGACGTCACATTCTCAGTCATTTTTTGTGTGTTATTCTCTGATCTTCTTTTGGAGACCTTCAGCAAATGCCAATGATTTTAAGTCATTCCATCAGCAATAGTTTTTGTTGTGCTCCCACAGGTTCATCCAGCACCCCAAAAACTTTGGTCTGATTGCATCTTTTCTGGACAGAAAGGTATTGATTTTATTTATATATATATATATATATATATGTGTGTGTGTGTGTGTGTTTGGGGTTCTCCCTCTGAGTGACCCAGTCTTCTTAGTAAATGGTGTTTGGAAACTGACATTTCATGTATCTTTCAGACTGTGGCTGAGTGTGTGCTCTTTTACTACCTGACCAAAAAGAATGAAAACTACAAGAACATAGTGCGGAGGAACTACAGACGCCGTGGAAGAAGCCAGGTATTCTCACCTTATAGGCTCACAGTTCAAAAAGATGCTCAACTTTGTGACCAACCCCCAGTCATACAGCATGTTTGAGAAAAGGTTGCATTTACATTTTTATTTATGTGGCACTGAACATGTTTTAACTGCGGGTGCACAGGGAGCTTCACAAGGTATATAGGGCAGATAGGTGTGAAGTATCTGGTGAGCAAATGCTGCACTCAACATGAAAATGTTTAAAAATTGCTGCAAATGGGTCATTGTGTTACTTAAAATGTGTGCCTTGTAAAGAGGTCATATTCTGACTTATGAGTACTCAAGCTAGAGTAGTGTCTTTGCAGAACAGTGAGGCAGCTCCAGCCATACAACTATCATGACTAAAAAAAAGGTCACACTTACAGATCCGGTGCAACAGTTTGCTCAGTGCCATCACGTTGGCACTGTTTCCACACTGTCACATTGTTTAAGCACAGATCATTTTTATTGTTAGTGAGCTCCCAGTTATTACTTGGCCTTTGATTAGGTGCTAGCTGTTGTAGCATGGTAACAGGCACTAATGAAAAGACGCATTCACTTAATGCTGACCTTTTCCTGTGCATACAAGGGTGGTGACTCCTCATCTTTCCTAAAGAAAACTCTGCTCATTACCTGGTAGTGTCTCATGAGTAACAAATAGCATTAATAGCTCACAGGCATGAGTGGAGGTAGCTGCATCAGTGATATTGTGCAAATGGAGAAAACAGTTCTCTGACTGCAAAGGTGCATTTTGATGTTGCTCTTCTCCCTGCCATCCTGCTTTGCTCATTTTTATGTTTCCTTGCCAGGAGGCGCATGTAATGTCTGCTTTTTCCTTTGTTTTTTCCGAACAGATGTACAGAAAGAGCTCAGCAAAGGTTCACGTTTTTTTTTTTTAGATTAGCATTAGCCTAAAGGCAACAACCGCAGATACAGTGCAACAAAAGAGCAGTGGCTCTCATCAGTACAAATACATCTGTTTGGCCCATATTAAGTACTGTTTAAGGATTTTGGTAAGGCTGCAAGTCTGTACTAATCTGAACTCTAACCATAAAAGCCTAGACAGGCAGGAAACTGGTAAGGAAGTGGTTCTGGGTGCTTAAAGAGCAAGCATTATACAGCAAAAATGTGTTGCGGAACTTTCATATCCTGTTTTGTCTTGCCTACGCTAAAAAATTAGTAGCGTTTTTTTTTTTTGTTAGTAATTGTTGTATATGTTCAAATGAAAACCAGTTTTTTTTAGAAATGATAAAGAGAGGAATGATTTTATGCTTCATGTTTCTAGGTTTTGCAAACACCATGGTACAGTTTTGGTGGTGTTTTCTCATCAGATCTCCAGCCACACATCATGCTTTCTGCAACGGTGTGCCAAAAATATACTTGCATCTGAATAATATGTTAGACATCACACCATCCACAGGAAGTGTGACCTCACTTATTGTTTGCAAACAAGAATAAAATGTGGTGAAAGGACATCAGTTGTATCTTGTAATTAGGGGTTCACCAAATCCTTGGTTCGGTTCAGACTGTGGACATTTGGTTTGCAGTTTGTGGTTTTGGTTCAGAACCATTATAGTGAAATACTGGAGGAAGTGGAGCAGCAGAACACTCTTGACTGGACATTAGAAAAACAAGATTTAAATACTACACATAATTATTTTCCTTACATACATGCACAGACAGACACAAATGTGATAACTGACTCCTTTTTTATGTTTGCATATACACATTGAAGTGCATGTATCAAAGGTATACAGATTACAGGAGAGGCTGGAGTGTTAATAATGTAAATCTGTGGCTCAAGTTACTTGGAATACCTTTGTAATAGAGTGCCTTGTTGTTACTGTCTCTCTCTGACATCGCAGCATAGCCAGCAGCAGCAACAGCAGCAGCAACAGCAAGTGAGCCGCAGCAGCCAGGAAGACAAGGAGAAGGAGGAGAAAGAGAAGGAGGGAGAGAGGGATGAAGAAAAAAATGAAGCTGAAGACAAGGAAGATGGAATGAAGTGAGCCATGTTTTTTTAAATACTGACTAAACTTTCCACGCCAGAGTCGTGTTGTCTGTGTCAAACACTTAATGAATTTGTAAGGCTAAATACTATGTGTTGCAAAGATGACTCCATGAGCCATGATGAGAGGTACTTGGAATATATTAAATAAATGGATTAGAAACAGTTCCAATAAGAGTAACTACCCCCAATACTTTATGGATAATGATACACCGGTCATCAGAATGGAGGATGCAGTTGATAAGTTAAACAGATTTTTTGTGAATGTTGGCCCTAGTTTAGGAAGAAGTATTTGTACAGATGCTTCAGCCGTCACTAGAAATAATAATACAATTGAAAAGAACATGAGTTTTATGTTCTTGAAGCCAATAGTTGAAAAGGAAATTATAGAGATAGTAAATAAATGTGATAACAAAACATCAAGTGATAGTGATATTAATTATTTCCGTTTTATTTATTATCTGAGTCTGAACGATCTTTTATTTTGAAAAATGACCGTATTCTCTCGGTTACTTGAGCGCCAAAACTGGCTTACTTGTGGACATATTCAGCCTGCTTAATGAACTCAATCTGTCACTTCAGGGGAAAATGACAACTGTCTTCAAGTTGGCAGATAAAGTAGTTGCATTTAAAGCCAAACTGGATTTGTGGGGACGGCGCGTCCACAGAGGCATTTTGGACATGTTTCAAACATTAGCGGGGATTTTGGGTGAGACTGAGCCTGAGCCTTCATTCTCCCAGCTGGTGCACGATCACCTGTCTTTGCTTTTAAAAGAGTTCGAGCGCTACTTCCCAACCACAAAGGACCCACGAACTGCCAAGGAATGGATCCGCAACCCATTTGTCAACAAACCAGGTGAATCCAGCAGGTCTGTGCAAGAAGAAGATCAACTGCAAATCGCAAATGACGGCGGCCTTAAAAGTATGTTCGAGACAACAACTGTCGGTGTTCTGGATTAAAGTCATGACAGAATACCCTGAGATCGCCATCACAGCACTGAAACGAGTGCTGGGGCTCAGGGCTCCCTTTGATTTAGCGTTATGGGGAGTTAAAAATGTCAACACAGTGGATTCACGTTTATTGTTATAGTAACAATATACGTACCCTACGTACACCGGTAAAATTGTCAAGCGTTGAACGGTCCACAGTGATAAAAAGGTTGGGGACCACTGCTCTAA